TTGAGGCGACTGCATTCGATGCACATGCTATGGTCTGAAGCCCGTCTCATCTTGAGGCAAACATCCCACTCTTTGGCAACTGTGTAGAATGTTGACTTGCAAGCCGCAGAGCTACCATCTGGATTCACACGGTGCCATGCCAGAAACATCAGATATAAGGTGGCTTTGTTGCCAGGAGGCAATTCCCGCCTTGGAAGGCTCTTGATATCCCGGTTGTGCAACTGATGAATTGGTCCTTGAAGCTGATTGTCAATCAACTTCCTGAGAAGTTCCTCCCGCAGGTCTGCATCTGTTTTTTGCCAGCTTGGCTGTTGCAACTGACTCATACCTTAGTTGTTGCTGGGCATGTGTTTCTTCATGGGCTCAGCACATAGCATGCATTAAAAGCAACCAAGGCACGTTGTAGCCATGGGTTCTGCTGCTGTGAAATATAATTGTGTATAGAATGCCATCACGGATGCTCGCTGTTTGGCCAATGGAGCTGTTGAACCTGACTAAATTGAGAATAAAACATGCAAAGGGAATTTGAGAATTTGTAACAAGCACTCAAAGTTCAATAGCAATTCAGGTTGTGGCCCTGATTGATGGCCCGATCGTCCATGCCACGATAGCGCTTCCTGCATCTCATCATGCGCTGCTTCCCCAAACCCATGTACCGGATAAAGGCTTCCCGGCACAATTCATGTCCTGGTCCATTTGTCACAAAATTGGCTACCAACTAACACACAATTCAATAGCATGACAGCTGAACAAACAGTTTTCATCCTTCAATGTAGTACTTCTTCCGCGTGTGAGGGTTAGGAGACCACTGCATACTCCAAAGCACCGAATCTTGAACCTTTTTTGGCAGTTCCCAGAAGCTCTTGCAAACCTTTTGCAAAGGTTTGGTAGGCATTGTGCACCGGCACGAACATGGTGGAGATTCCATGAGGGCTTTGATTCGCTTACGGGCCACCCCATTGGCAGCAAATGTTGAGGTATCTTGGTGTTCTCCATGTTGGTGATAGGATTCGAGCATTCTAAGATCCAGGGACGCTGCCTCATAGCCTCCTTCCCCATTGTCTTCAGATTCTGAATAATCTGAATCGTCCCCACTGTCAAGATTCCTAGGTCGATTAGTGGCTTGTCACACTGTGCAAATATTATATTAATAATCTATTATATAGTAACATAGTAGTAGTAATAGTAATAGTAATAGGCATCAAGGATGTCGGAATAGATCAGTCATGGCACTCATCATCGGAATCAGCATCCCCCTGTGAATTATCGTCCGAGGAGTCGTCATAGCGCCAAACATTGCTTTTTTTTGCAGGCACCAGATCGTCGGCTTCGTCATCCCAGCGGCTAAGGACCGGCATCGTTTGAAGTAAAAGGTTGAAAGTCATTCTGTTTTTTGTTGCAGGTCAAAGCGGTGCCACTGAATGTCTCTTGTGTCATTACACGACGACGTTTGTTTTTATTTATGCCATGTAACAACATCCTACCTCGGAACCTGAGAATGCCCAAAACGGATTCAGTGTTTGCTGGAAGTCTTTTGTGCTGCAATTAAATTTGTTTGTACATGACCCAGCCGTACATGCACAGAACACTTTTTTGCTGTCCTGTCAACATCATAAACCTAAGTCTGCAAATACCCGTGAGCTTTGCGTGGGTTCATAGCCTTGAAGAGGATGCTCAATCCCATCAATACAGAGCGCATAGCCATGCCATTTCCTGCCAGCTTGTGCAGCTCCTGAGTATGACAGCAGGGAACACTGCACATACCCCATGAAGTAGAACTTCATTAGCTTGAATGTGTCCCAGGCTCCCGGTCTGTAAAGGTCTGACAGGATAGTGATCTCATAGGAAGGCCCATGAAGATGCATGCCTCATACCCTCGGCTTTGCAGGATGGTGCTTGTGAGTGTGGCGGGAATTCGAAAGGTTCATGCTGATGGCATTTAAACGCCAAGTTTCCTGTCAGGTAGCGCTGCTTCTTTCCAAGATAGAACTGGCCTGCAGGCCTTGGTATGGGTACTGCTCACCATGGATCTGACATGCAGGTGTATACACTAAGGTCACTAGGGTCAGGACGTAATGCAAGGAAATGAGCTTTCCTCATCCACCTTGGGGCTCATGCGATCAATATTTTGTGAAGTGTTCGCCACAAAGAGCTCCGCATTCTCCGATTTTTCTGCCCAACATGTGAGCAGATCCAGGGCCTGAGCGCAACAATCCATGTCACAGTGAAGCCGCATAAACGATTCAAAAGTTCATGTTGAAACCAGTAGCATGAAGTTCGCGCCGCGTTGTGATCTGTTTCACAGCCGCTGGATAGGTCTTCTTGAAGAAGCCACTGTATTTTTTCACCTTCCAGTGGGTGGATTGCTCAACTCCTATTTGCAACCATCACAAGACAGGCCTTCTTCTGGACAGCCCAATCTCTGTGACGCTCCACCCACTTTGGCTGCTTGTTTGGCTTCCTCAAACAAGACCAGCGACATGTTAGTAGTCCCAGCTTCCATATGACTGTGCTAAGAAACGGTTTGGCAAAGTTCTTCTTGTCAAGGTCCATGTTATGCCTGGTCGAGTTCACCACCGCATAGTGGCTATCATCGAGCAGCAAGTCGTTCCAAAGATGTGTCAATCAAAATGACGACGTTAGTGTGTTTGTTCATTTTTTGTTACCTGTTTCTCAGCCTTGTTTTGGTCCAGGTGCCAAGAACATGTAGCGGGCATGGCACACTTCTCAATCAATTCCGTGGCAAACTTGTGAAAATCACTTTTTGCAGCTCCAGTCATGAGGGACTTCAGGACAAAGAGAACATATACTCTGTCCCGCGATACAGGGCTCCCGAATTGGATCCTGGGCGGCGCAGTCAGCTGGAAATGGACAGCAAGGGCAGGGCAGGTTTCAAGACATGTTGTGCCAAAGTGCGGGTCCATGTCAACCATCACAAAGCTGTGCCTGAGTTCCCATCAGGCGTCTTTCTTGTAGCTCTATGTTGTTCTGATTCAAAACATTTTGGTCTTACGAATCCAAATGAACCCAAGCTTCTCTGGCAGGTTTTCTTCTAGGACTCCACGGACTGTGTCCCAAACACCCACGAAGCCTCGTACATTTTCAAGCATGCCCGCCTTGGTTGTCAATGAGTCACGGATAATATTTTTTGATGAAACACACTGCATCTAGACTCCCTGAAAACTGTATGCTGCAAAAAGGCAGCTGGCTGACAGTTTTTCAGATTGCGTATCACTTGCCACAACTGGCCCGCATTCTCATCCTCGAGAAGCCCCCTTGCCCCCAACAAAGAGTATGGAGTGCAGGGGAAGCCTGCTGCATACACGCAGACCTGCAGGGATCAACTGTGTGAATTCTTTTCATTGTGCTTTTGCCCCCCCTGTGCCTTCCCCTTCAAGTGCTTGCATTTCACATTGTAGATGTCGGTGTTGCTCCTCAGTGTGCTAGGCATTTTACTTGGAATCTAGGGTGTGACATCACTCAAACACATCGTTAGTATGTAAAGATATGTAAAGCTTCTGTACCGGAGTCTTTGCATTGATCTCAAGAAACCGCCGTGCTACCCCATCACGTTCACTGTTGCTCCTGAGTGGCTGAAACCAATGGTCTGGAAATGCCGAGAAAACACACCAAGGGTTTTAAAGGCCAAGTGGCAAATAGCGTGTAAGGTGATTTTTGCCGGCTTCTGAAAGAAGTAGGTCAAGTCCCATCAGTGGAGTATCCATACCACTGCCTTAAGAGTCTTAAGAAAGTACTTTGTGTGTAGGAAGACGTTACTCTCTTCACAAGACTAAAAAAAAAGCAGCCAAGGAACAGTCACTCATGTAACCAATGGGCTTTGTCCACTGAGACAGGGTATGTTGCAAGCCTGATATTTTGACACAGGGACACATGAACTCCAATCAAGTACGAGGGACATCAGGCCAAGAAACCAGTCAATCTGTAGAAATCTGCGGCGCAGTAGCTGAAGATCTCGTGGACTTCAGTGAGCTCCTGGCAAGCTTGATTAAAAAAGATCAGCACTTCAGGGTGGTTGAGGCAACCAAAGGGCAACTGATTCAAATCTTGAGACCCTGACCTCATCCTCCTTGGCATCAAAGATTGTGCCATCATCTGAATCAGATGATATTTCACGCCAAACTCCCATGGCACAACCGGGTCCAACTAATTGATGGCCCCTGAACCCTCGAGCCCAAAGACCCGGTTCCCAATTGCAAAAGACCCACTTGCTATTGGACTTGCTTTACTACAATAACATATATAATATATATATAGTTGGCTACACATGTGATTTCTTTCCCAGAAGCATGATGATGACGGTTACTCGCGGCTCAAAGTTGAAGATATAAAATTACGCTTCTGTTGGCGAGTGCGGTTTGATGCTGCTTCTGTTGAATTCATACTTGCAGAAATATGGTGAATGGGTGAGCGCCTCTCTAATTCACATGCTACTCATCTATTTGTGGGATTCCCTGTTTGGGGTCATACAGTACCGTCATACCCATTGTGACAAAAGGTCCTGGGCAATTTAGAGGAGCCCTAACTGATATTAATTAGATGATAGCGAGACAGTCATAACAGGTGAAGTAATATATAGCTACAGGAAGCAGAATCCGAGAACATAATTATACACTTTTTTGTACAGGGTGTGGGCATAGGTCCCACATCACAACAGAAGGCGTGGATACATCATCAACTTGGACAACATGTTGGTCCCAAGAGGAGACGGTGAGTTCCCAGTGAGAATCTGACCGCCGGAACCCAGTGTGATATGAGGCTTCTTTCTGACCAAAATGGTCTTCGAGAACTGTAGGCATCCACAACGATGAGACAACTGCGAGGCCGAACAAGTTGAACCAAAGCCTCCTCGCGACTTGTGCAAGTCACCTTCGTTCCACCTGGTTCAGTCCCAAGGGGTTTCATCCCTGTTCAGCCACGCCCACACCCACCGCACCATCACGCGTGGCCCCTCTCCTTTCGCCCAAGTTGGGCCAGCAAGCATTGACGTCCACCATGGCCCTCTGCACAGGTCTCCTCCTCCAAACAGACCTGCCAGGTGGAAAGGAGGGCAACTCGAAAAAACAAGCAAGAACCCCTCCGCCAGCGGCAGACTCACATCCTGAGGATGTGGAAACACTGGCATCCTGAGGTATGCTGGGATCATGGGTGGTGTTCAACATGGCTCAACACTGTAGAACCTTTGGAGGCTCAGCTCTCTTCAGCATGCCAACTCCATACCAAAACTCTTTGCGCAGCACCGTCTTGCAAGCCGGAAGTGCCTTTTCTTCCCTAGCTGGTCATAGCTTCATAGCTGAACACACGAAATCATTCATCACCACAGCGACTTCGGGGTGCCCAAGGAAGTCGGGGTGCCCAAGGAAGTCGGTTGTGCCATGGAACCTCTGAAACTGTAAATCTTTTCCGCTCACAGCCCTTCTGTGCGAGGATATCAGCCTTTATCCATCCGATGAGTCAGGATAAGAAGCCAAGAAGCGAAAAAAAGCAAAAGAAAACAAAACACAAAAACAACGGACAGGCACACTTTCGCGTACGAACTGGACAGGGCGAGTGCCGGCACCGGCTCGGAGAAACAAAGAACCGTAGCCCCTGTTGCGACCCCAAATTCGTAGCCCCTGTAGTGAAACATGGCCAAAAACAGCACAGGACTTTCAATTCTCCGCCATGCACGTCGTATGCCAACTGCTCACCTCCGGGTTGGCAGTGCAACGTTCGATCAACACCGGGGAGGCGCGATCCGCAGAGGCCTCAGCAGGTGGATGATGAAGAGAATAACAGCGAAGCCTCCATCATGTACACTCTTGATGAATAAAACCCTATTTGGAGTGTAATACCTCTTCATATGGTGGCCTGAGTAGAATCAAGAGTCTACATTAGCTGAAAGTCAAGCTTTATATACAACAGAAACTACTATATACAGCTCTTTCTACTGCCCCGGTTCACGGGCTGTGGCATGGACTGTCCGCAAGTCGTACTACTATACCATCTCTTTCTCTTCCGAAAGCTGAAACTTGCACAACCTTACATAGCAAATGGAGCCACCTCAGTCAGTCTTCTTCTGGCGCCCACTATGGTTCTTCCAGTCGACTCCAAGAACCGAGTCTTCACTCCTTCCTTTCCTCACTTTTCAGGCCTTCTTCTCCCACCAAACCCACCTCATCCCACCTCCTGTTCTTCTAAGCTCAACGGACGTGGAACGGACGTGGCTTTAGGCTCTTGGAACGGACGCCCAACACGAAGCAGTCAGGGGCATTCGGACGCCATGGACGGACGGTGCTCTATTTAGGGCATGAATGAAGGAGTGGAACCTCTGTTTAGGAGCAGTGTTGAGGAGCAGGTTCCCTCATGTTTTGGGCAGATGGGGACTTGGAATCACCACTCTCAAGCGGTGAACCCAGTCCAAGTCGTCCGACAGTTGTTCCGTGCCTAGAGACTCGTAGCATTGAAGTGCACTTGGGACTGTGTACTGCTGATGTTTCTTGAAGTAAATGAATGGACATGCGCATGGTCACTTGGTCTGTGTCAGAACATTGTTGGTTGGCTTTGATAAGAGTTGGGTAAAAATGGACAAACACGAAGTGGACACCCAAGATCAACATAATCTCGACCAAACAAAGAAAAACATACTGACTATGCACTGTTCACTAAGTAGATAGACATGCTTTCAGCATGTGTGGCCTGTTCCAAACCAATCAAATCAAATCAATCGTAGAAACTCCAACGATCCCAACGATGTCGGTACGCCCTCCATACCGCCTCAGCCGGCGGGTTCGTTTCACTCGTCGCGGAGGAGTGAAAACGGCACACCGTCGTCAGGCGGGCGGCGTTGAGGTGTCGCAGCACGAAGAAGGACTTGGCATTGGAAGGCCTCGCCAGGCCGGGCCTGGGCGTCGTATTTTTCGCCAGGGACAAATAGAAGAGCTCCACGCTCGAAAAGTCCGACGTTGGGTTCAGGAGGCATTGGGGTCCTTGCGCCATATTCATGTTTCAAACACCATTACCCTGCGAGAGGTTAAATATTGTTTTGGAGTTACCTGCTGACGTGCTCAGTCCAATTGGATCACAAGCAACAAGCTGAAGAGGTGCGGCATACGGATGGAATTGTTGGTGCGCAACAATCAGTAGCCGAATGTAGCCAGTATACCCTTGTAGAGCCAAATCAGTCCGTGTTAATTGGCAAACCGTTAAACCTCGTCACTTCTGGGCTACATCCAAAGATGGCATAAAGTGTGTGCATGCTTTCGGAAAACATGGGAAAAGGAAGTGCAACATCTAGCGACTGGTCGAACCACTCTAGACACTAGAGACTCGAATAAACGAAGGTCTCTTGACATTGAATCGTATCTATATCAAGCAACGCCGTGTCACCCTGTAGCAGGAGCAAGTAGCGGTCTTTTCCAACAACTCCTCGCCTGTTTGCCTGTGTTTATTATGTGGTGAAACCTCGGAAGCAAAAACGTAACAGCAGTCCATGCGAGCGTGAGGCGCCTCACGGCACGGCGCGTCTTTTGGCGTTGGCAGCCGAAGACTGGTCTATGAACTGAGGGTGTAATTGCCTAGAGCCCAAGTCAAGTGACGCCTGCTGTGGAGGCATAATACGAGTATGGTCTCTTCCCACATCTTCCCACCAAAGGTCATCAGAGTTCGTCCTTAGCAATCCCCTGTCCAAGTGTATATGTGTATATTTAACATCCGTATAATATAATGCATTGAAACAAGTATCTGCTATTTAACATTGGACCCTCGTAAATTCTTACTTGCACTGGATGACCAATCGCTTCAAACCGAGCTCATGGCCTATCATTATCTCATTCTCTCAGCTCGTTTGGGCATCGCCAGTGACGCCCCACGCAGGGGAGGTCTTCTTCAAGACCCCATGCGAGCATGTCCCGCAGTTGCTGCAGTTGCTCTTGAAAAAATGGATCCATGAGAGCCAGGGCCATATTGGCTTGTCTTGGCTGAAGAGGGTGGACAATTAACTACTGACTGGGGCGACGCGTAAGGAATGAGGCAATGGATCCTATCAGGTAGTGAGGGGTCATTCCCTTATTCTCTACTAAGCACCAGCCAGATTATTCGTCCAACTTGTTGGTCTTCGTCTTTGGTGAAGACTCCTCCGCCTTCTTCATTGCTGAAGCTCAAAACGATGCACACGAGAGCCGTGATTGAAAGAAATGAGTTAAGGATAGCCTCAAAGTACACCTAGAACAGGTGCATGGAAGAAAGAGATCGCAATCATGACTCCTCCAATGAACCTCTTTTGAGGATTTCCTTGAAACACTGGTCACTATGAAACATTGCCTTTCAAAGAAGTTGTATCATGTTGTATCAACAATGGGCGCTTCTAATTCGCACTTGGACGCTAGACCGCAAAACACGGGACCACAAATCAACACTTTGTTGGCTCACGTCTGCCAACAAGTTGGGTTCCCTACTGCTAAGGGGGCCGTCCCTTTCTTTCACTGAAGGTGACCATTAAGAACCCATCAAAGTAAACCATTCAAGGGGCAGCTGTGGCTTTGCATGCCAAAAGGAAAAAACAAGCAGTCTTCTTCAAACAAACTAGCTCGCATTCTGATCCAATCTGATCCGTTGATCACTTCAGCGTTACTCTCCATCTCTCGTGCTCTAGCCCTCGCCAGGCCGAAACCGGACGGTTCTCCACGTCTCACGCCTCGATCTCCAGCTGCGTGCCCGGGCCGGCGCCTGCCGGCACCTGGACCTGAAACGAAGCGAGTTCTGAGTCTGGATGGATCAAGAAGAACCCATAGAGCGAACCCATTAGATGGGAGAACTCAAAGAATGAAGCGGCGGCCTCCAAACAGTTGCAACCTACAAATAATTCTGGTGAATTTCCATGTGGGGCTGGGTCATGGCACCATGTTCACCCGACCAGTCCACCATGTATGCCGCGAGTAGCAGCGAGTAGCGAGAGACACGACCGGCATGTAATGACCTACCGGGGTTCTGTTTCCGAATTCCCCTGCTCCAAATCCAAACCTGAATTCATCTATCCTGCCAGGCCCCGGTCTGACCCAGAAAACCGAGAAAGCTCCAGCTGATGCTCCGCAAGGGTCTAGACTGTGCATGCCCTCAACTAACTCCTCCTTAACATCCCAAACCCACTTCAGTACCCCTCTCCTCTGCCTTTTCACCATCTTGCATCTCCAAGCGACTTGTACTTCCCGCCCATCCGGCAGCCGCACGGTCATCGACTGCCCAGGCACAGCGCCCGGGGGCACCTGGCGAAGAAGACGATGTGACAGACTCCGTGCCCGCAAGGCTCGGCTAATTTCATGTTGCTTGCAATGAAAAAGGTTGTTGGTTGGTTATGGTTTCTTTTTTTTGCCACACCTTTTTCCGCCTGCCCAGCGTGGGGGGAGCCGGCTGGGGTCAGCGGCTTCCTCCCAGCGCGCGTCTGCCAGGACAGCGGAGAGGTCGGGGGGCTCGCCGTCGAGGGCGTCTTCCCCCGACAAGGGCTGCTCCAAGAGGCTGGCGGCCAGTGCCCGGTGGGCTGCGAAGGCCGCAAGGGCGGACCACCGCTGGCACCAGGTTGCAGTCGCGGCCGCTTGCGCCCAGGCTGGAACGGAGCGCGCGCGGGCGCGTGCCAGCTGGTGGATAAAGGAGGCCGCCTCGTCTGCCCACCTTCCACCGACCTCTAGGCCGAAGACGACTAGCCGGCACCGCCGGGAGTCGGCGAACTCGGGGTAGACTTGCCGTCGTTTGCGCCGAGCCGCTTCCTCGACGCTACAACCCGGGACGGTATCTGCTCGCCCGCGGACGGACCCATCACGGCCAAGAGGACTGACCAGGGTCGTGTCGACCGCGAGCTGAGAGCCATGCCAAAGGGGTAGCCCGTTTGCGAGGACCTCGATTTGGCGGGCGTCAGCGCCCGGGATATCGAGGTTCATCTGGCTCAGGGCGACATTGGCGGGATACGGGATCCGCCAGCCTCCCGGCAGATGCGGGCAACAGCTCGCTCCAAGGGATGGCCCTACCCCGTAAGACCCCTGAGGTCGCGCACGCAGCGCGGTGATCGCCGAAAGGGTCGACTGCGCGCCCGCAGCGACATCGAGCAGAGTCGAGAGGAAGGGGGAGTCGTAGGCGGTGGAGGCCCAGCGCACGGAAATGCTGGCTGGCCATCCGGAATTCGCGGGCTGTGGGGAGGGCGACGAAGCAGCGGCTGCTGTAAGGGCCAGCCTGGGAAAGCAGGAGCGCGCGCTCTGCGGGAGCAAGGTCAGACAAGAGCGCTTCGAACTCCAGTTTGTCCAGGACAGCTGTGGCGGCCTGTTGCCAGCCCTGGAGCGGCTCACCGCCGGCCCGTTGCGCTGGCATGGCAAGGGCGTTGGAGGCGCACGCCTCCCAGGGAGGGGTCCGGAAGCCAGCTATGGTTAGCATGGCGGCCGCCTGGGCAGCTTCGAGGATGCTCGGGGGTTGCGGCCGGGCTTCTCCACGGAGCAACTGGACTAGCCGGTCACTCACGGATGGGATGCGGAGGTGTAGGGCCGGGAGGCTGTCTGCCCAGGAGGCCCAAAAAGCCGCATGGCGTGCGTGGTAGGCCGATCGCAGGCCAAGGCCACCGAAGCTAAAGGGTAAGCGGGCGCGCCTGAGCGATAGGTCAGGAAGCGGCGCGCCGGCAGTGAAAAGGGCGGCCAAGCACAATTGGCCACTGCAGCATCATGGGCTTGCGCGTACCCCGCCGTAAGAGAGGGGGGGAGCACGCGGAGAACATAGTTGGCGCGAGGGCACGCGCAGAAAAGAAGGAGAAGGAAGGCGACCTGGAGGTCGGTTAGGCTCGGGATGGCACGCAGTAGCGCGCTTTGCCCTTCCTGTTTCGTTGCCAACTCGCGCTGAACGTAAGCTGGCGCACCCAAGGGCGTGCCAAGGACGGTCAGGCCTTGTTCCTGCGCAGGGAGGTTCCAGTCGCCAACCCATACTCGCTCCGACTCGACTGGCTGCAGGCGGGAGAGGTGGAGAGGCTCTTCCCCGCCAGCGTTCCAGACACGAGTCTTGCCCTGGTGAAGGGTGATGGCAGCGTGCCGTTCAAGAGCGGCTTGGAGTTGGTTGAAGACCACTGCGGTCCTCTCAGGGGATGTGATGGCGTAGACGTCATCAAGAAAGGCGAACAGAGCCTCGCCAGGCTGGAGTTGGCCCTGCACCTCCATCAGTGCGCTATGCTGGGCCAAGCTGAAAAGAGCCGGCATAAGCGGGTCGCCTTGCTCCCCGCCCTCACCCTGATAGATCTGGTGGCCGTGCCCCTCCTGGTCGTACCAGATGTACTCGCTGCGGCTTCCGTAGAAGCTGCGAGCGAAGGGGAGGAGGGAAACGAGGGCTGGGTTGTGGCGAAGAGCGGCAAGCATGGCCTGCCGCGACACATGGTCGTATGCTCCTACACCATCCACGCTTAGGAGGGTTGCGCGGGGGTCCAGCTCGGTTGCCGCGCGAAGTGCCCGGGCCAGCGCCTCCGAGCCAGCCTTGGTGCTAAGAGCATATTGGAAAGGCAAACACGCCTCCTGGACGTTGGCTGCGAAATGGCTGCGGAACACGTCGCCCATCACAAGCCCGCGCACTCCGCCATTGCTTTTGCGCAGGGCGACATGGTTGGTTGGTTGATCCCTTTGGTTGGTTGGTTGGTTGGTTGATCCCTTCTACCTTCGCCTACGAAGACGCAGTTTAAGCGACCCGTAGCCTCATGCAATACGTTCGTTTCTCTGATTGTGAAGTCATCAATTCAGGGTCATCAACCAAGAGAGGTTAAGTGACCTGAAAATGGACCCGTCACCTGAGATAGTCTATGGATGTCTATCTATATATATACCTGGATCTTCGAAACGGCACAAATAATTGCCTTTTCAGGAAAAATGCCGTTACGGCGTCTTTTTC